GAGGTACATATGAAAAGAAACTTTTTTTGTCTACATTTCCAAGTTTTCTGTCAAAATATTCTAGCAGAAGACAGTGACTGATCAGTGCCCAAGAAGTCTTCCTATTATAGGTCTAGGCTGGCCTTAACGAATTTAATTAATTTTGCTTAAAGTAAGCCTAGCCCAGGCTACGGGCGGGTGCCTGGGGGTCTATCTATCTGATAGTCCCCTATATTACTATTAGGCCTAGCCTAGGCTAGGCCTATAGGTAGCATAGGCCTAGGTCGTTTGGTCTAGGCCTATTTAACTTACGCAGTTTTGTTATGGCCAAATGACTGATGAAAAGAAGAACAACCGACCAATTTAAATGTTTCGACTTTTGATGGAAAGACGTCAACAACCAGACAAACAGTAATGAGGTTAGACAAGACATATGTGCATATAAACATAGGGTGCGTCGTCAACTGTCTGATTTCATTCAGCCGCCGGCGGGGAAAAAAAGCCTGCCCGCACACATTACACGCGCCTAACTGTCATTCGTCGTACGCGCGTGCACTTCTTTAAAGTCCGCCGCACACGACGAGATTTAACTGTTATTTTTGCTAATAAGGTGCACATGTGAACTTGCTGAGGTGCTCATGTGAACCTGCTAAGGTGGATTTACTAACCAATCATGCGAACCTGCCGAGTGCCAATTTCAACCAGGCGAGGGGCTCATGTAAACCTGTTAGGTGCTGATTTGAACCCGTAAGGTACTGTGATTACCCAAGGTGCCTAATATTTGTAACGACGTTGTAACGCGTAGCAGCCCCGACGCATTTGGGAAGGCTCCCTGATTCGACCGACCAATCAGCACAAAGCTTGGTTTCCATAAAATCGTAACCCTATCGGCGACAGTTGTCGGGAAGGTTGAACCTGGTTCAACTTTGCTGATTATTGCATTGCAGATGAATCGGGGTGGCGGGGTGGGCACATGATTCTGTTTTGTCTGCAACGGTTGAACCAAGTTCAACATGCACTGTTGGCGAAAGTGTTAGCGATGTTTGGACACCAACCAAAAGCTGTGGGTAATTAGCGAATAGCGATTTTATGGAAACCAAGCTTTAACCTGCTTATGTTAACCTGATAAGGTACTCATGTGAACTTGCTAAGTTGCTCAAGTGGACCTCTATAGGTGCTGATTTGAACCTTGTGGTGCTGTTGTGAACCCTGCAAGTACTAAGTTGAGCCCCAAGTTCTTCACGTAGGACTAGCAATGCTAGCACTGATGTAAAGCCATGAAAAATCTGTCATTGTTAATTTTATTCAATGACGCTCTCCGTTATTGTAGGCCCTACAGATACTCAACCAAATCAAATAGGCTTTACAGAACCTGCTTGTCTAAAGAAATTAATGCTGGCCTATATTGAAACATTTTTCAAGGTAATACACCACATTTCTGTGTCGAACACTGGTATGAAACCCAAACAGAACTTGTTCCTTTCTACTATAAAAAGGTACATTTTTGCACCATCTTCATTTTCCGATAACAAAAGGTGCAAAGATGAGCCTTTTAATCGATTATTTGAACTCTGCACCCTCTCTGCACCTTTTTATAACAAAAAGGTGCAACTGTGCACCATTTTCTATCTTTGCACCTTTAGTTGCACCTTTATTTTTAACAGTGTAGAGCGCTAAATAAAAACTTGCTAATATTATTATTATTATTATTATTCTCCTCCCCTCGGCAGTGAAGTAGAGTGGGATGACTTCTTTGAGGTTGCCTGACCTCAGCCGTGGAAAAAACAACTTCTGGATAATTTCGTCAATGGATTCATTCTCCTAAATGAAAATAAAAAATAATAACAAGAAATTAACAAGTAACAGATACAGATTTTAAACTGAAAAAAAAAACACAAGCAAATTATTTACATGGACCAAGGGTCAAGTTGATTATGTTATTCCAAGGACTTATAACTGTTAGGAATCTGGCTGGTTTAAGCCGTCTAACTTGAATTAGCCTTATGTGTGGTATTGTTATGCCAAGTTATTTTATAGGCATCAAGCTATTGTAATATGACTTCATATTTTTTGTAATTTCCAGTGGCGGATCCAGGAATACGAAATAGAAGGGCCCCGAAAGGGTACTTTCACAGATAGAAAATCCCAGATAGATCGTTCTGGGCATGCGTATAGACATGCATGGGCTTTGAAGCAAACATTCTGATCATTGCCTGCACTTGACATGCTAAAACTATCATTCCCACGCTAAGACAGTACGCTAAAACGATATTTCTTCGGCAATTTCATTATTTAAAACATGGTTATTATACTACTTAAAATAACACATGTATTGTATTCCGAAAATCCGAAACTCTCCTAAATTCCAAACGTAATATTCAGTATAAACACAAAAATCAATTTCTTAAACGAGACGATCAGTTAAACCCTGAACAACAAGCATAGGTCTACCAGATGTCGTGAAAAAGAACTGTGATGTCATGCCATGGAGATTATAATAAATTGATTAAAATGACACGACAGTATGTTAAACAAAAAGTTAAACCTTCCACTAGGGTGATTCTTTTCAGTATCCTGGAGTTTAAAAAACTGAAGTGCTATTTCCGAGCATCTAGACGTGTACATTTTACAAAATTTTCTAACCCCAGCCCCAAACATGGTGGGGCTGAGGTTATTGGAGACTCACACCGTACCAATCAATGCTTCCGCCACCCCTGATTACGGAGGAAATTTGTAGAGAATGAAATTTAAATTTGTTAGATTTATTTCTAAAAAAAAAAACCATTAAGGTTTCTTGATATGTTTAAATTAATTTGTTTAATTAAGTCATCATCATCTTGCACTGAGCTTGTTCCTTGTGTCATGCACTATGAAACTTTGGGTGATCTGACGTCATCGAAGCATGTGTTTGCACACCACTGTTGCACCCCTGAAAAACAAAATTAACAAATTGGCGGACAGGATTTCGGAGGCGCGGTCTCTGCCCTCAGCAAAGTGAATAGAAAAAAAATAACGGAATTAAGAACTTGAGAGCTGTTTCTGAGCACTTAGACATATAAATTGTACAAAATTTTCTAAAATGGCAATCATGTGTTGTTACTTATTGTACAACATACATATTGTGATAAAATATTTTTCTTTTGAATATTAAATATTAATCAGGCTGCAAAACAGTTTCTGAATGTCCCGTACGCCTCATATGGAATCGCCCAACCTTAGTACAATGTACATACCTCTGACACCAACTGGAGTGCGGGATATCCCTCCATGATGTTTAATTAACAGAAACAGGATTTTCAAAGATATTTCTCCGCTGGAAACCATACTGTGGGTTGCTGATTAATGCATAATTTTGGTAAATCAACTTTGACATTTGTCATCCTCTATTTCTACTACCTCACATTTTCTTTTCTTTTTATCTCTGGTTTTACCACTGCTGCAACTCCAGTTCCATTTCCAGCAGCAACTCGTTCAGTTTTCATGATATTCCTGAAATGATTTTTGATGGCTGACTGCCAAGAACTCTAAAATAAGAGACAAAAAAAACAAAAAAAAAAAAACCATTCAAAAATCTAATTCAACAATGAAAGTTGATGTTCTCATTAAATATCTTGAAAAATCAAGGGCGGAAAAATATTTGTTTCTGTTTCTGTTCGAAGCGCGAACTCCTGTAGACCAAACCCAGTACCATTACGATTTTTAATCGTGCGGGAAATCCACTCAAGATAAAATCAAGCGCACATAAAGTCACTGTTAATGCAATTGTCAGTCAGCAATGAACAATTACTGGTAACTAGTACACAGACCTATAGTAAAAATCTCGGGGCATCCCGAGATTTTACATTTTTTGCTAATTGTACCAAAATGGCCGAGCTAAATGGCCGAGAGGTTAAGGCAGGGGCACCGTGATCATAGCTAACAATATCGGCACAGGTTCGCAGCTGGCTCGCTCCTACAGTTCTGGTGGTGGAACAAGTCTTCTCGGATAAGGACTATAAACCATAGGCCCAGTGTACACAAATGCTCATGTGCACTTTAAAGAACCCAGTAGTGACCCTCAGGGGAGGAGAAAGTTATTGAAAAGTGCAACATTTAGTCCCGAGCGCATAGAGACCTCGTTTATCTGCGCTATATAAATCAATCGATTATTATAATAATTATTATTATTATTAAATTGATGGTTTTGGAGAAAATAATTCACAAGGCAGGAATTCTTAAAGCTTGATTAATAACACCAATTTTAATTTTTTTTTATGGTTTTAATTACTGAAACTATACTTTGTCTTTAACTGATATTTGTTGTGACCTTTCAAAAATAAACAGAAGGCTTAATGAATTGAACCTTATCCAATGTTCTTGCCAGAGCCTAATTGTTGATGCCTCACAAATAGGCATCAAATGTTGTGTCAATAAATTATATATTGATATCATATTTTGTGGGTATAGTTATGTTTAAATAGTCGTAATTCAATTTGTGTGTGAAGAAAGTATTATTCAGAGTGAGATTGAGAGGAGACGTGTCAAAACATTTGTTTCCTATTTTAAACAGTGACAAATTGTGAGCAAAATAATTCATGTAATTAGATTTCTATAATTCAAACAAAATCCTAGAGACTAAAATATCTTAAATAAGATAAAGACAGTTTATAGTTAATAGTTTAGGCCTATAGCATCATATGAATTGTATGTAACACATCATCCAAAAAATCTGTAAGAAATAGGCCTACTTACAGTACATGGTCCCAAAATGTGTCAGAGCATGGATCTATTTTTAATGTGCCCATTGTCTCTTTTAAAATAGATTGGAGTGGTAGGAGCAGTGTGGTTTACTTATCAACTTCTACAATAAATTTTTTTATTTGATTTTTTAAATTAAAAAAAAAAAAAAAAAAAATTTTTTATAAATTTCATTTTACTTCATTATTTATTTAAATTTCATTTCACTTCATTATTTATTTGGTCATTTACAACAACAACAAAAAGCTGAAATTAATTGATTTTTTTATTTATTTTGATTTATTTTTTTTTTTTTATTATTCTTCTTCAATCGTCAATTGTTACCTACCCACCTCTCCCCCGCTCATCAGCATTTTGAAGTGTAATATAGTGTAATAGACAGTGTGGGATGATTTAGCAGAATTTTTTGCTTCCCCCTAGCAGAATGTCATTTTTTGCGCTGGTCACACACTGCCTAAATGTAATGCAAATAAAGAGGGGAATACATGATTTGAAGGGCTGGTTCGCAAAAAATATCCCCAGTGATACCACCGTTATAATAAATTGTTTGATGCTTTCAAATCGGGCGAGATTGGAGAAGGAGGAGACATAGGAGAGAGAAGATTTTACGACAGTTAGTATAGGCCTAATAAGATTTGTAAATGTTGAGGTATAATTTAAAAATTGTCCTTTTAGAAGCAAGAATATCGAAATGTATCAAGCAAGTAGGCCTATGCTAGCCTGGCTTACTAGAGGGGTCTAGAGTAGGCCTAAGCCTAACCCAGCAGGTATGTCTAGGTCTAGGGCCTAGCCCAACATAGGGAGTTTGTTTTTGTCATCCAGTCATGACATACATTTGTTTTTACATCAGTTCTATAGCTCTTCAAAACATATAAAATGTTTTTTTTTTTGTCACACTTTGTAATTTTTTTCACAGGTTGTTGCAAAATTTGGTCCCACGAAGAAGGTAGACACATCCATTCAAATTCAATATATGTATATTTCCATAATTCATTCTTTCAAAATACATATTGCAATAATAAACTTACCAAAGCTATGCACTTGCAATGACAGCAGATGTAAAAAGAGGGTCAATAATTTCTTCATTTTCTATATACTTTACCTTGCCAGATGTATTTATAAATTCTCACTTTTCATATTTAGAAACTGTACTGTATTTTAGCAAAATGTGTTACTGGACATTAAAAACATGTTTTCGGATTTCTTCTAGGCCTAGGCCCTATGCACATTTTTGCGCGACGGATATAGGCAAATCTCCGCGCAGGCAACTACTAGACTATACGGTACTACAACAGTCTGGCAGGGCCTAGGCCTAGGCCAGACCCCTTTTTCTACACAGAATGTTGCCTAAATCAGAGTAAAATAATTTAACGTGAATATTCAGAAGAATACATATGTTATTGTGTACATACCTTCAAACACATTCCAATAAAAAAAACGAAAAAAATCAATTAAACTCTTCATTTTCGTTCAACATCAAGACACAAAAAATGGCGACACAAAACTTTTTTCTCGAATAACGCGGGCTCTCCCATAATGCTTTGTGATAGGATCAATTTAACTCTCTGATAGATGGGTTATTTTAACTCTGCCATTATGCATTGCGATAGGATCAACTTTGCTCTCTGTGGATGGGTTAATTTAACTCTGCTAAATTCATGAGATAGGATCAATTTGACTCTCAGTGGATGGGTTATTTTAACTCTGCTTGTTTTACTCTAAACATGAAGTTAATTTAACTCCAGCAACTCAAATACTGGAGTAAAAATTACTCCAACATTATAACATTGTATAAGTTTGGAGTGGGTGGAATGAGAGTAAACTTAAGGTTTACTCCCCTAAGGAGTTACTTTAATACCATTTAAGGAGTTAAAATAACTCCCAAAAAATAACTCCCCTTTTGGGGGTTATAACTACCCCACAGGGGGAGTTACAATCACTCCTCAGAATTAACAGTGTATTTACCTTCAAATATACGACTCAGATCATTGATCACTAGAACCACCAGGTACAACAATTCGTTGTTGCCAGGTCGGTTGAGCCAGATAAATATTCTGTTTCAAGGTACAGAATTAGAGAAGGGTGGTAACCATATATACCCCAGTCCAGTCTGGGTTTATTAAAATGCAGGTGATAATACCTCATAGCACTCTGGGTTATTTTTACACTTGTTTTTTTTATGTTTTGTGTTAATATGTATCTAATGTGTACCAACGACAAATTTCTTTATTTTTATGAAGACAATAAACTTTGAAATGAATTGGATTGAATTGAATCAGACATCAGAGAGAAGAGGAGATTAAGAACTGACTCCACTCTGAATGGGTTCAACTCTAACATCTGAGAAACCTGGAGTTAGTAGTCGATTGTATATATGTACAGTACAATAGTTAATGTTGAATAAAAGCTTCGCAGCATATTCTATACCAATGAAACTTTTGTTGACTCTCACATTGAAAGCCTCCAGTCTACATCAATATTACACGGTTGACAGACTCCGGATGGCATGATCGGACTCGTACAAGACAAGAAATCCAGAATAATGATATTGTAAGCAGAAAAGTTTATCTGAAAACTCAACCAAGTACTGCACCATCTGAGATGAATTTACGGAAAACAACTAAAATTTATCGGTTTATAGGATAGAAAAATAAATTAATTGCCTATTTGAGATGCAAATACCGCGACTGACCAGGGAACCATTGAATCTTTGAAAAGTAAACCAAAACAGGCGTCGAAATTACAAAACGAAAAAAAAACATCGAATCTTGACAAGCCTACACAAACTAATCGGATTCGTGACAAGCCGAGACAATACTCGGATTCTCGGTTAACTGACTTTTGTTTTTTTCGAAATCAGACATGTATAACCAATTTCAATTACTCATAGCCAGACAATTGAGATACAAGATACAAGATACAAGTCAACTTTATTGTCAAAATAATACATTCTGAGATATTGGTTGTACATGACATAGAATCGTTCATAAACATATAGAGTGTTAAATAAAGATTTCTTAGACCATTTTCCGGGGACCAAGGTTTCTCTGCTGATTCGGCATCACTAGGGTATAAATAAAAAAATGAGCGGGGGTGAGCCTCCTGAAAAAGGGCGGAACATGTTTTTTGGCGGC